GAAGCTATTGATTTATGAGTTCATGTTGAACAAAAGCCTTGATACTTTTCTCTTTGGTGGGTCCTTTCTTGCTTCATTCCTTTCCTGTTAGCAGTTTTTCTCTCTGTATAGAACAGTTTATCTGATCTTTTTTACACTGTACTTTTGCTTAGATTCAAGAAAAAGAACTGAGATTGATTGGCCAAAGAGATTTGATATCATTCGTGGTATTGCGCGTGGACTTCTCTATCTCCACCGTGACTCATCCCTTAGGGTTATTCACCGAGATCTCAAGGTCAGCAATATTCTTCTGGATGAGAAGATGAGCCCAAAAATATCAGATTTTGGATTGGCTCGGATGTATCAGGGAACCGAACATCAGGACAACACTCGCAGGATTGTAGGAACTCTGTAAGAACCATTCTTCCAAAACGTGCATTCATATTCATGATATTATAGTGGGTGAAACTATTTGATGTTTGCACAGAGGATATATGGCTCCTGAGTATGCATGGACTGGGATGTTCTCTGAGAAGTCAGACATCTACAGCTTTGGAGTTCTGTTGTTAGAAATCATCAGCGGAGAGAAGATCTCAAGGTTCCGCAATGGTGAAGAAGGCAAAACCCTTCTTGCATATGTAAGTGAGACTTAAACATATGCAATGGAGTTGTTGTCTATGCTCACTACAACATCAGATCTTCCATCACCAAAACAACCATCATTTGCAATGTACACTAGAGATGAAGGATCTCTGTTAATCACTGTCAATGAGATGACACAGTCTATGATCCTAGCGCGTTAAGATACGATGCGACAGAGATCAGTGAAAAGAAAGTTAGAGATAAGAAAGAAGTAGTGATCACATAGGAGAAACTCTAGGGATCTGATTTGATAAGGGAATGATCTCAGAAGTTTATTTTGTTATGTATTTTTCATGTTTAAATAAGTCTCTGAAGAAAGATGGAAGGCAGGAGAGTTTTTTTTTTGGCTTTTGGACTCGGTTTGTCGGAGGGGCAATAGATATGTTTCTTGTGTTTTTCTTTCACAATGTGTGATGGAGATTGTAGAATTGAAGTGTGTTAGAATGTTTTACCTTCACGATTTTATCTTTCAGGAAGAGTAACATGGTTTATATTAATGCCTTTGATTATATTGTAATTATCAATTATTTTTTGTCAATGCTTTTGAGACGAAAGTCTCTATTCCTTAGGTCTCACTGATCTCCGTTCATCTACGTTCACAGAATCGGTATGTTGGAATCTGGTACAAGGGTATCATTCCGCGGGTTGTTGTGTGGGTGGCAAACAGAGAAAAGCCTGTTACAGACTCTACCGCAAGTCTAGTTATCAGCAGCAATGGAAGTCTTCTCTTATTTGATGGAAAACATGGCGTTGTGTGGTCCATAGGAGAGATACTTTCGCATCTAACGGGTCTCGTGCAGAGCTTTCAGACAACGGAGATCTTGTTGTCATAGACAATGTTTCAGGAAGAACTCTATGGCAAAGCTTTGAACATCTTGGTGATACTATGTTCCCTTTCTCAACCCTGATGTATGACCTCACCACCAGTGAGAAACGGATGCTGACTTCTTGGAAAAGTTACACTGATCCATCGCCTGGTGACTTTGTGTTTCAGATTACACCGCAAGTACCATCACAGCTATGTACCATGAGAGGCTTGACGCCTTATTGGAGAAGCGGTTCATGGGCTAAAACAAGGTTCTTTTCGGTAGTAGCGTGGCTTATTCTTTGATATATATATCTCAGGTGTAAATGAGCGCAACAAGATAATTGCTGCTAGTATTTCTCTTTTTCTGATATTGTGCACTGCTGCATTTGGTTTCTGGAGACACAGAGTGAAACATAACGGTACACACTAGTGATCTTACTATCTCTCTATCAATCTCTTGTTGCTTATCTATTCATTTACTTGCCACACTGATTACTTTACTATCTATCTGCATATTCGTGTAAGTTTAGTTTCAGATATTATATCAGTGGATGCGTGGAGGGGTGGACTGAAACCACAAGATGTCTCATGTTTAGATTTTTTTGAGATGAAAACTATACAAACTGCCACCAATGATTCCAGTCTATCAAACAAACTCGGACAAGGTGTATTTGGTTCAGCTTACAAGGTCAGAAAACTTTTTTTTTATCGTATTCTCTCTTTTGCTCTCTAGATGACCTTTCGCAATCTGTTTCAGGGGAAGCTGCAAGATGGGAAAGAAATTGCTGTAAAACGTCTTTCTAGCAGCTCCGGACAGGGCAATGAGGAGTTCATCAATGAAATAGTACTCATCTCAAAACTCCAACACAGAAACTTAGTCCTACTTTTGGGATGTTGCATTGAAGGAGAAGAGAAGCTATTGATTTATGAGTTTATGGTGAACAAAAGCCTTGACATTTTCCTCTTTGGCTGGTCCCTTCTTGCATCCCTTCTTTACTATCAGCAACTTTTTATCTTTGTGGAGCTGTTTGTCTGAGAGTTTTTACACGGTATTGCGTGTGGACTTCTCTATCTCCACCACGACTAACGCCTCAAGGTTATTTACCGAGATCTTAAGGTCAGCAATATTCTTCTGGACGAGAAAATGACTCCAAAAATATCAGACTTTGGATTGGCTTGGATGTATCAGGGAGCAGAATATCAGGACAACACTCGCGGGTTGTAGGAACTCTGTAAGAATCTATTCCATAGACATAATTACCTAGGATTTATAGTCACTATCATATAAATAAACTTGGGGACACTATTTTATGTTTTCACAGTGGATACATGTCTCCTGAGTATGCATGGACTGGAGTATTCTCCGAGAAATAAGACATCTACAGCTTTGGAGTTCTACTGATAGAAATTATCAGCGGAGAGAGGATATCAAGATTTAGCTATGGCGAACAAGGAAAAGCCCTTCTTGCATATGTAAGTAAGACTTTAGGCATTGATAGACTAGAATCTTGCATTTGATCCCCATAAGTTCAGAGATTTCACAGTCTATTTTCGTCTTGTTCTTATATATGCTTGCCACAAGAGGCGTGGGAATCTTGGTGTGAAAATGGAGGAATTGATATTCTTGATAAACATGTTGCTGATTCATGTCTCCCATCTGAAGTTGGAAGATGTGTTCAGATTGGTCTGCTCTGTGTTCAGCACCAACCTATAGACAGACCCAACACGCTCGAGTTGCTGTCCATGCTCACCGCAACATCAGATCTTCCATCACCAAAACAACCAACATTTATAGTGCACACTAGTCACTAGAGATAATAAATCCCTGTCTAAGTATCTTGTCTCCGTCAATGAGATAACAGAGTCTGTGATCCTAGCGCGTTAAGAAACGATTGTTTGATGGAAAATTGTAGAACTGAAGTGTGTTGTTAGATTGATTTCCTTGAACGGATCAACTTTTCAATGTTGATAATCTTGATTTGGTAAATTGTTTGCAATGCTTACCGCTAACTTGTGGCCATACTTTCGCGCGCGTGTACTATCTGTCTCGAATATCAATCTAGACTTCAATAATTGCAGTTTGACAGTTTGCATTCTTTTCTATCAGTACGCAGCATAAAGCTATAACGTTTGATAGCAATGTATAAATCTGTATTGTCTTTTGCCCAAATGCAAAAGCTGCAAACTTAGTTACTGTGTAGGTTGACTTCTAGGTAGACCAGAATGAGGAAAACAAAGAAAACTCATCTACTAGATTCTATCTTTCAGGAAGAGTAACATGGAAATTTCTTGGTTAGGCTGTCATGTCAATATGGTTTATATTAATGCCTATGGTTTAGATTATAATTATAACTATTCTCTTGGACAGAAGAAACTATAATCAATTATTTGTCAATCCTAAACATAGGATATAACAAAAAAAAAAAAGTCTTTATTGCTTATGTCCAACTTGTGGCAATGCAGATGTAATAAATACATCAAGTCTTCTCTGTGTTCAACACCAAACTGCTGATAGACCCAACACACTTGAGTTACTGTCAATGCTCACGACAACAACAAATCTTCTCGGTGAATGAGTTAACATTTGATGTTTCACTTCACTTTATTGCTGGTCTAGAATTTTAGCTGCAAGTAAAAACTGTTGCATAAGTGTTCACGTGCTCTGTTTTGTGTTAGTCATTCGATTTCAAAGGAGCACACACTTGTTTGTGATGGGATTGGTTAGATGGAAATTTGTTGACTTTATTTATGGTTATGGCTCAGAGGGTAATATTCAAATTTTCTGCTTGAGAGCAACATGGAATATAAAAATTAGGAAAATATAAAGAATTTTGTCTTTTATTTGGTCAATGAGGTCTATCATCTTTCTTTTTTATGCTGCGGTCTGGACAGATTATTACAATAAAATGATAATCAAAGTATATAGTCCATGGACACATCCGAGAGGCTTCATTTTTTTGTAAGATGTACATGAAGGAAGTTTGTTCTGTTATTGCATTGACTTTTATAAAGATGAGCTTTTCTCATACATTCAAATCTTAAGAAGAGCTCTTACATATCAAATGGGAAAGATTGGTATTGT